GTCCATCAATCCATTCATTCATCATCCATCCATCCATCCGTCCGTCCATCCATTCATCCGTCCATCAATCCATTCATTCATCATCCATTCATCCATCCATCATCCATCAATCCATCCGTCCATCATCCATCCATCCATCATCCATCCATCCATCCATCCATCCATCCATCCATCATCCATCCATCCATCCATCCGTCTATCAGTCCATCCATCCATCCATCATCCATCCATCATCCATCCATCCATCTCTATCATCATCATCGTCCATCCATCCATCCATCCGTCCATCAATCCATTCATTCATCATCCATTCATCCGTCCATCAATCCATTCATCATCCGTCCATCCATCCATCCATCCATCCATCCATCCATCATCATCATCATCATCATCATCATCATCATCATCATCATCATCATCATCATCATCATCATCACAAACACCAGATACCGCACTGGGACTTGATCAACAGCCGATACCGCACCGTGACGTCACAAACCAGTAGGTGGCAGTAGTGTTCTTTGACAAACATGGATGCCTCCAGTAAAGCACATTCACATGAAAATTATTTCTTAAAGTTGGTGGGAAGCGGCCGTTCCTAATGTTGAATTTCCGAATTCTCCCGATTGGTGCCCAACTTTACACGAGTGAATAAAGTGAATGTGATTGGTCGATTATCAAGGGGGCGGGATCGTTGTGGCGGAAGGTTCGCAAGAAAGTTTGGTTGTAGCCGGTTTGTGGGAAGCATCTTGCTAACCAGTTAGCAACTTAGTGCTAGCAGTTTCCCAATGGGAAATTCCATTGGGACCAAGTAGCACTAAATTGGTGACTTAGAAACGACGCTGTCAAGGAACGCTATGGACAGAGGAAACATGCAAGAGGAGGAGAGTTTAGTGTCGGAGGTCGTGGATGAGTCTCCTCCGTCATCCATTTTTTATTTAGAGGAAGAAAGCGGGGACAAAGATGTTGTGGAAGAGGACGCCAGGGCGGCAGAAGCTTGGTTTGGTGTAGAAGGCTTCCAGCCGTACATGTTTGAGCCCTTGCCTCGCAACGCTGCCAGTTCTGTTAGCTCTACGCCTGCCGAAGACACAGACGTCCATCCCCGTGAACACTGGGACGCAACTCAATGGGAAAGGAAAGGATTCTGATTTCAACCGTTGCGTATATTAGCTGCGACACATGAATCAAGATGCTATGACCGAAAACATTTGATTGACAGATGACCGTTGATATATGATTGGCCGAATTTAGGTGTTCAGGCTGACGTAGAACTAACTGGCCTGAAGAAGATAACGGAAAACCCCACAGATTAAGACAGGATTTTTTTTAAGTAGAAATGTTCTAAATTTTGGGACAATATGGTCTGATAAAGAGAAGATGCTTTACATGTTTAAAGGTACACTATGCAACCGTTGTTTATTTTCCAACGAGGCTCCACCCAGAGGGCGAAAGTAAAAGTGCACTGTCGTAAATATGCACAGCTGTTCTCCTGGTTTCTCCATCAAGCCAGGCGCGGTTGTTTTGAGCTTAGCAGACAGGCGAACGCAACGAATGACTAATGCTGCGTTCACACCGCAGCTGGCGCGACAGAAGCAGCGAGTTTACATGCAAAGTCAATGGTTGACGCGCGTCAAGGCGCAGCAAAAGGTCCCGCGGCGCGTTTTGAGCAGCAGGCGCAGCGCGTCTGAGCAGCTGAAGCAGCGCGTCAGGCGCGTTTAAGCATCTGACGCAGGGAGAGAGACACAGCGCTGATGATCACTCCTCTTAAACAGTTTATTGACGCCTAAATTAACTTAAAATGCAGAAATCTGCCGGCAGAATATGCAGTTTGGATTATTTAGATGAAAAACACCTACCAGCTGCCGTGGTGAACCGCGAGGAGGCGACCCGGCCACAGGCTGCTGATGAAGGGATCCCTACTGTCGGCGCACCGCTGGTATGTGGGGGTCTGAGCGGCTCCGACAGAAAAAATATTGAAGGCAGGATAATAATCTGAATGAACTGACGGCACTGATTACGTTTTCAGGTGTATTTTCTCACTTAAACACATATTAAAACTACTTTATTCCCACTGATCACAGCAAATATAGCTGCAAGGCAGAGAAAGGATAGTGAAGCTCCGCCCAACGCGCGTCAGACACACTTTTGCACCGCGCAGCCAGAGCAGCAAAGCTGCTTCAGCCGCGCGTCAGAACTAACTGGTACAAGCAGCAAAAATGAAGCAGCAGACGCGATTTTGCTGCTTTTGCTGCGTGAACGTAGCATAACTGCACAAAGATTGCCACTGTGCTAGCAACGAGAATGCTTTTAACTGGGGCGTGTAGCAGTTCTCGCTGTAAAGCAAGACTGACTCTCGCAAGACTTTTGAGCCTGTGGGTGCGGGTCGGTGCTCCTGCAATTGCAAGTGCAGTATTTCCCCCACAGACCACCAGGGCGGCTGAGAAAACCTTTGTTCAACCTGAAATGAATCATTTAATCATCCATAACGTTATGGAACACATTAATTAACTGAAAAATGTTGCATAGTGTGCCTTTAAGCCGGAATGAACTGACATTAAAATATGATTACTCTACGACTTTTATTTAAAACACTGATCATTTATTGAACAGTATGTAATAATTTCATATTTAAAGTAGTTTCAGAAGTTATAATTCTGAATTTGACCAGACTTCTTTAAAGGAAAATATGGCGGTGCCCTGGTCAGTTCTTCTTTTCCTGGTTTACTTGAATACTGTCTAAAGAATGTATATTATCGCCACCTAGTGGTGACTCAAACCTGATGCCTGCTATTTTTATTAGCTCCTATTTTGATAAACCACAAGTTACTTTAAACGCATTAGTGAAAAGGAATCTCCAGTGGGCTGAGTGAGATTTGTATCTATTTATTTTAGTTCTGGAACATTTTCAGCTAAATTTTAGGGTCAGTTTAAAGCAAAGAAAAAAAAAAAGAAAAATAGCTGATCTGAAATCCAAACAATTTTTTTTTGTCGTTATATATTTTGGAGTATAAACTGCGATCCCATGTGTTATTAGTGTGTTTTCTACTGTTGATTCAGCCGCTCTCAGCCTCTTCAGACGCAGTTTATTTTATTATCTGCTGATAAATTAGAAGATTTCACTGATTAGACCGGAAGTAAAAACAGGTTAGATGAGGAGAAAGTCTGAAGCCTGGGAGTTTGGGGAAAAATTCGGATGGAGAAAAAAAAGAGGTCTGAGAAAAGAGCGAAAATTGTGGGTAAAAAAACAAGAGAAAGTGGTTTTAGAGTGGGAGGAGAAGAGGGGGGGGGGGGGGGGGGGGGGGGGGGGCGGGACGCGCAGTTTGGGCTCCGGAGACTCGCAGGACGCAGCGGACTGTCCCGGCTGGTTCTCTGCATCCTGGAGGTGGAAAGAAGCTTCTCCCGCTGCCTGGAGATCAGAACCAGACAGTTCTGACAGAACCGAACAACTTTTGGATAAAACCAACCAGGGAGACCCTCCCCAGCCCATGTCCTGCCCCCGAGCTCAGAGCCGCGTATCTGAACCGACCTGCGCTTCATTTGAGCGGATGAAACGTTGAAGCCGAAGCTGCTTCACGCCGAGACCCAGTTCGGATACAGCAGGTGGGTTTATGCTGGATTTAACGCGTGGAATTAATATAGGAGAACATGGAGATGAACGGGATTAGGATTAAAATTATTTTAAACTTTAAATAAATAAATGTTTTAGGTTTTAAAAAAAAATGTTTTTTAGGGAAACATTCAGAAAATCATTTATTGGGTCAAAACGGAAACTCGACAAAGCGAGAAAAATCAAAGATTTTATTTTCTTTCCGTTTGAGATAATTTTACTAATAAAATAATGATTGAATTTAATTTGCTAATAATCGCAGCAGATTGCATGGATCTGTCCGAATAGGAAATCAATCTCCACAGCTAATGTCCTCTGAATGGGTCTTAAATAAAGGCGCACAGCGCGCGGGATCCTCAGTTAAAACCTGGAGAAAGAAGCAGAACCTCCTGGAAGATGTCAGTTTGAAGGACTGACACTTTATGGAAAGAAACATTTCAGTCATCTGTGACTTCTGGGAAAATACACATAGTTTAAAATCACAAAAATAAATAAAAATCTGATGGATTTTAAAGATGAAACCAAATCTCTGCTTCATTTGTGGGAAATTAATTTACTGCTTTATAAAATTGATGTAAAGCTTCAGTTTATGTTTGGAATTTGAACCTTTTCACTCACGCAGATTCTTATTAAAGAAAAGATGTTTTCTTAGAGGTGAGCAGATGTTTGCTGAGGGGTTCTGCTGGGCTCCTCTCCTCTGACCCCCCCTCTGTCCCTCTGACAGCCATGCTGAAGCCGGGAGACCCCAGCGGCTCGGCCTTCCTGAAGGTGGACCCTTCCTACCTGCAGCACTGGCAGCAGCTCTTCCCTCAGGCTCAGCTCAAGGCTCCTCTGCCCCCCCCACCTCCGCCCGCTGACCGCCTCTCCATCGTCGTGGACACCCTGCGCCCGTCCCGCCTGCACACCCACCTCCTGGCCTCCACGCACTGCACCCCCTCATCCTCTTCCTCCTCCACATCTTCCTCAGCGGCTCCTTCTTCTTCTTCTGCAGCGGCTGCTTCTCTGACTCCATCCTCCTCCATCTCCACCTCTGCGGGTTTCTCTCAGCTGCCCGTCCAGCAGCAGATCGCCCTCTTTGGGCAGGCGCTGGCTCCGGTGTGCTCCGGGCCTGCAGTGGCACCAGGAGGAGGAGGAGGACCGGGAGGAGCAGCGGACCTGGTGGTGGTGCTCCCCCCGGACAACCAGCAGGGTCACAACCCGGCGCCGGAGCTCCTCCATCAGGCTAAGGAGCAGAGCTGTGGGGGGGTCGGGGTGGTTTCATCCAGCGTGAAGAGCAGCGGGGAGGAGAGCGGGAGGCTGAAGCTGACATCCGAGGAGCTGGACTACTACCTGTACGGCCAGCAGAGGATGGAGATCATCCCGCTGAGCAACCATGCAGGGGAGCTCAGCAACCGTAGGTCCAACACACACACACACTGACAGGGGTGGTCTGCATGACACCCCCTCACTCTGTGACCTTTGACCTCTCCGGGGTCAGACCCTCAATGTCGCTTTGATCCGTTTTCTGTCAGAAAACCTTCAGCAGTTTTCAGGGAAGATTTAATTTGAGTTTTCCCCAAATTAGCCCTTTGAAGCCTGAACCAGGAAATAATTGACAGAAGAGTCTAATTTTCCAAAATTAGAACTTTGTGACAAATGAAATAACTATATGAATTTTGTGAAAACATTAAACTACACAATTTATTAGCATCCATTTCGATTTATTATGCATTTCTCTATCATCTTTTATATGTTTTCTTTTATATGTAAGTCAGGGTTTAAAGAACAAAAACATCACACTAATTCAGCGTCATTCACAGTTTTATTAATCAGATTTTATCTCTTTAAGATTTATAAAAAAAAAATTAATATTTATGCTTTAAAAAATATATTTAAAAGAATTATTGCTTCAGTTTTTTTAAACTATATTTTGATTAATAGCATCAGGATGTTTACTATCTGAAAGAAGTTAAAAAACGGACTAAACGGGAAACTTTCTCCCTTTTGCAAACATTAATTGCATCAAATGAGTTTAAACAGTAGCTGCAGGAGGAGTAGGTGTGAAGGGTCAGAGGTCAAAGGCCAGCAGAATCAGAAGCTGCTGAAGATTTTTTTAGTTTCTTCTTTCTTTTTCTTTATTTAAAGAGTAATTTGAGTTAAATTAATAAAATACATGTAATGGTTTCCTGGAGAGAACAAACAAAACAAATACTGTTTTTTAAAATCATTTTTACTTTAAAATAGTTTTTCTTATGGTATAAAATAGAATAAATAAAATAGAATAGAAGCTTTATTGTTGTTAATATTCAGGTAAAAAAAGCTTCAATCATCTTCAGACCTCCTTTGGATGCGCGCGCCCATGCATGAGCCTTCATTAATGCTTAAAACACACGCGCGCGCTGAATCCAACTCTCCTCCCCGCGCGCTCTTCCGCAGCGACCCGCGGCGGCGGCGGCGCACGTGGGGATCAATTTAAAGGCGCGTGTCAGACGGTCCCCTCGTGGGATCAGTTCAGGAAACATCTCCGTGGGTGTTCCGTGACCGGAGTTAATTTGGTTAAATAAAACTTTATTGTTTGAATTTTATTTTTCTTATTTTAGTTAATTTTTTATGTTTTCCTTTTTAATGAAGGCGCAAAGTTAAATAAACTGAATAAAGATGAAGTTTAATAAATATATTGATGAAGTTGATTAAACTCTGATTATTTATCCACCTAAACTCTGGTTCATGTCGGATTAAGTAGGACGTTTTTTATCCGTAAATTTATTAGAATAAATAAAATTTTATTATGTTTATATTCATATTTCATGTAAAATAGCTTCACATCAGATGCATCGAACCACAGTTTATTAAATTATTATTCACCATTATTATTCTCATTAATTAATCGATAACGTCACTGCTGAGCTCTCTGTGCCACAGCAGATTTAAAATAATAAATAAAAAATGTGATATTTGGGGTGTTTGTTGCATCAATTAAAAGTCTGACTGTGATCCTCGCGGAGCGGAAGTTGAGCCGCATCTCCGCGCGCGACGGTCGGTTAAATAAAAGAGGGAGAAAGTTAATCAGTAAAAAAAAAAAAACAGCTGCTAATAACAGTTTATAAACTCTGAGATGCTTTATTCCAGAGACTTTGTTTAAAACAAATCAGTTCTCATCCATCAGTTTTATTTACATTTAGGCTAATTAATAAAATAGTCAAAAGTGTAGAGTGATAAAGCAGATTAATTGAGCTTCAGGGAGGAAGTTCTGGAAGCTCTTCTAAGATCTCAGTCAGGTTTTTTTATTTTATAATTTTTTTTTTTTTTTAGGGGAAAAGATCAAAGAAAATGAACTCTGTAATTTAATGAGCAGCAACAGATGGAGCGGAGATGTTTCCCTCTGAAAATCCTTCAGATCATTGATTCTAATCCAGCCTAAAGAACCTCCGAACATCTTCAGATCACCTCCTCCTCCTCCTCCTCCTCCTCCTCCTCCTCCTCCTCCTCCTCCTCCTCCTCCTCCTCCTCCTCCTCCTCCTCCTCCTCCTCCTGTCCGCGGCCCTAAACGGCCCGCCGCCCCTCGCTGTTCATCCCGCGGTGATAAAACGGACCATCAGCAGTAATCTGAGTCAATACGCTCCGGCAGGCCCGATGAGGGATGGAGGGACAAGCAGGAATTAATTGCTGTATATAGTTTTGTGTTTGTGGAGGAGAGGGGGGGTAGAATTGGGGGAGGAGGAGGAGGAGGATCGATCCATCGGCCTGCCGGCCCGCTATTTATCATCCCAACACGCTGGATGGTGGAGGTGTTGGGGGGGGGGGGATAGAGTCACTCACATGTCACTGACCTCCAATAATAATAATAATAATAATAATAATAATAATAATAATTAATTACATAATAATAACATAATAATTAAGGTATATTGTTGGTGTTTTAATTCTAATTTTCTCACTGCTGTGATTAATTTATTTTAACCTTAATTTATTCAATTAAATAAGCAGAATTTATCTTTATTTGGATATTAATATTTTTTATTTTACTTCCAGAAAAATTTCAAATCTACAAAAAGAAGAAGTATATTTGGATAATATTAAAGTTTAATTCCTCCTCTCTGTCTAATGATAAAAGTTGCATCCAATCCAATATTGTATAATTATTGATTTATTTTATTATTATTTCATGGAAAATGTTTAGCAATTTAGAAATAAACTAAACATGAATAAAATGCAGAAGGAGAAGAACAAGTTTATTTGTTTATTTTAGATCCTCTGGAAACGTTTGGTTCAGTAAAGCTCTGACCTTCAGTGCCGCATTAGAAAAATAAATGTTTGCCAGAACAAAAACTATTTTTTTCTAATATATAAAAAAAAAAACCTTCTTCTGACCTGAGCAACTGGGTCAAACAATTTAAACATTCATTGTTCAATTTGTCATTAAAAGCTGAAATATTTCTATTTTTTGACATTTAAAACTTTTATATTTATTTTTTATTATTCTAATTGAATTATGAAAAACTCTGGAGGCCTAAAAAAAATAAACGGCTAAATAAATGCAGCACAAAAAAACCTGCTGATTCAACTTAAAAGGTTGAATTTCTTCACTTTATTGGAGGTTAATGGTTTATAAACAAAAATAAAAGATAAATCATAGAGAAAAGAAAAGTGTTTTCAGATTTTAAACATTTTATCAGGTTTTTCCTTTAAATTTTAACTGGAAATTGAACTTTAAATGTTTCATTTGAGACATAAGAAAGAAAAGCATAAAAAGAGAAAAACAATTTGGATTTAAATATGAAGGAAATGAAACAAACAGCTTTAGTTTCATTTAAGGACAGACGGGTTTGGATGAATCCCTGCTGGAACAGACCAGGTCCAGTCCGGTCCGGTCGGGTCCGGTCCGGATGGGTTCTATTGGGTGAACGATGAGGAGCAGAAAGCCTCTCATCAGTAAAAGATGTCTGAAATGTTTTTTAGGGAAACTGTCGGTCTGCTCCTAGTTTCTGTCGCTTCTACTCCAGTTTTTGGTTCTTTCTCTCATCCAAATCTTTTTTTTTCTGATCAGAAGAAAAGATCAACCAACAGCCACTCCTCAGACAGCGATCCATTATTAGGAGATCGCCGATGTCTCACTCTGAACAGTTTTCCTCATCTGATTTCTGCTTTTTATCTCATTCTGAGCTTAAAACCCAGATTTCATCTGATGCTGGAAAAGCTCAGCTGTGATTCCTTCCTATCATTTGAAGGGAGATTTTCTGCTCTTTGGTGCAAATTCTTTTTACTTGTCAATGTTTTCTAAATATAATGGTGCAACTTCTAAATGAAACGTGACTTAAACTTCATACAGGTCAGTGATGGGGAGCTGTGACGGAGCTGAGATACCTCCGACCGGCACCAGGGGGCATATGTGGGGCTTCACAGATGATAGGAAGGTGTCAGCAGGCAGTAGCAGGAGCCTCCGACAGTCAGGTTATGAGCAGAAATATCCAGAAACATAAACCATTCCAGTTATCTGTCAGACGCTCTGGTTACTGCCTGATAGCCCAGTAGTTCCTACTATCCCTCCCTGGTGGTTGTTATTGTGCAGGTGGATCTCCACCGGTTCAACCAAGTCGGGTCAAACAGAAAGTCGACGCTTTCTTTCCCGTCCATAGAAACTCATCTAGATCTGTTACTGAAACAGAGACGGAGCCAAAATGTGAAAGATTACAATAAAAACCTTCAGCTTCCCCCAAAAAACACAGAAAACACAAAAAAACATCATTGTTTTTTTTAGATGTAGAGCAGATTATAAATCATTTATCCTTTATTGTCCTCCAGTGGCGACATTAAAGTAAAAAAAGAAGGCGTGCAGAAAATGATCCAAACTAGAGAAGCACCCAGGAAGTGTAGACCTCCACCAAGCAGCACATTTCCCCCCAAATTCTGACATATTTATAAAACTCACACAAGATCTGCATAGTAACCAAATTAAAATAAGCGTTCCTTGACACGAGGCAAACCTCTGGTGAAACGTTTTCAATCAATCCTGCTAACAAACAACAACGTTCCATTTTTTTGTATTTTTGTTTTCAGTAAAATACCTCCAGGCGTTTTGAGTCCGATGCTGAGGCATCAATGCTCACTGCTGCCCCCTCTGGTTTAGTGTGGAACTGCTTGTTCTGCCGAATATCCCAATCTCAGAATGTTAGAGAAAGGGGGGTCGTTAGGGGGCAAGCCAAGCCAACAATTCCCCCTAACGACCCTCCTTTCAGAGGCATAGACCAGTATCAAGGATTGCAGGCTAACAAAGAACCCAAAACATCCCCGATCCTAAGGGACGGACCCGTTCATCGGGTTAAATCTGCAAGTTTTCTAAGCCAAAACAAGGCTTTGTTGTGTCACTCTATAAAGCTTTGAACTCAACGCTGTTTCTGACATTTGAATTGAAAA